AATGTCTCCTCTTTCTGCAAGCTTAAGAGGCAGCTGTACAGAAGGAACAAGAAAGGGCATGGTGGGCGCCTAAATTATACATACGCACTCCCTTATTAATATTTAAATTAATGACATTTCAAGCACAGGCAGGTAATTCAACCAAGCAATTTCTGGAGGGCTCTCTCCAGACTTCTGGCCAATGAGAATGGTGATGCTGGGATAGCTGTTCAGGAGAAGCTAACCTATGAATTTCATTAACTTCAACCAGGATTCTCCAAACAAGCATCTGAGGCCTGACTGGCTGGGGATTCTGGGAGGTGAAAACGTCTGATACAAGCAGACCATATCCACAGTCTTTATAGCAGCACGTGGTCCAGACGGGATACATGCAAAACCTTCTATGTCAGCAAGAATAGAATTAGAATAGAATAGAATAGAATAGAATAGAATAAGAATAGAATAGAATAGAATAGAATAGAATAGAATAATAGAATAGAATAGAATAATAGAACAGAATAGAATAATAGAATAGAACAGAACAGAATAGAATAGAATAGCATAGAATACAGAGTAAAATGAACAGAATAGAATAGAATAAGGAGAAACTTCCTGACAGTTAGAACAATTAACCAGTGGAACAACCTGCCTCCAGAAGCAGTGAATGCTCCAACACTGGAAGTTTTAAAAAAGAGAATGGATAGTCATTTGTCTGAAATGGTATAGGGTTTCCTGCCTGAGCAGGGAGTTGGACTAGATGACCTCCAAGGTCCCTTCCAACTTTATTATTAGAATAGAATAGAATAGAATAGAATAGAATAGAATAGAATAGAAGCTGGAAGGTACCTTGGAGGTCTTCTAGTCCAGCCCCTTGCTCAAGCAGGAAGAGAACATTCTGGAAAAATCCATATGGTCCTCAACCTCAGCAATCCATTCTCGGGAGGTCTGTTGGTACAGGCAGTCCCTCAATGTACAACCTCAACAGAGCCCCACATTTCCATTGTTAAGCAAGACAGTCGCTAAGTGGAGTCTTGCCCCATGTTTATGACCTTTCATGCCACAGTTGTTAAGTGAATCAGCACAGTTGATAAGTCAGTCACCTGGTTAAGTGAATCCGGCTTCCCCCATTGACTTTGATGTCAGAAGGTCGCAAAAGGTGATCACGTGACCCTGGGAGACACGGCAACCATCATAAATACGAGTCAGTTGCCAAGTGTCTGAAATTTGATCACATGACCTTGGGGATGCTGCTACGGCCGTGAGAAAAACGGTCATAAGGAACTTTTTTCAATGCCGTTCTAACTTTGGTCATTAAATGAATGGTGGACTGCCTGTGTTGACTTCCAGTATGCAGGGCGAACCTCTGAAAAACCCACCAGATCAGCCCCAGGATGTGTGGGTCGATGCGGTGCTAATGGAAGGTTCTAGATTCCTCTTGAATGTTCCATTTTTCCGAATGGCAAGTTTTGTATAGCTTTGGTTCAGAATATCATCAGATTTATAGCCTCCCCAGATGTCAGGAGGCAACTGACACACTAATTCAGAAAATACACGCTAGCTAGCACACACAAAATATGAGACCAAAGTTTTTGCAAAATACATGCCAGGTGATCAAACAGGAATAAAATTCCATGTGGGCGGGAAAAATTTGGAGCTTTCCATTCCTTCAGCAAAAAGTTATTTTCATGAGAAAGACTGATACTCACAAAACAGTCCAAGATCTCTTGTGCTGGTAAGTTCACTAGAAAATAAATCTTATCTAATTCCAGGCTGCAATACACTAGAAAGAACCCCAGGTAGCAGCAAAGAGATACAGAAAAAAATAAAATATCCTCTGCTACCATCTAGTGGTCCACTAGGGGTTTGCAGGACAGTTCTAACCCCGATTCAAGTAGGTACTCTATTTCTCCCTTAATCTTTCTTGAACCTTACAGAGCAACAGGGCATCGTGCCCAATGTAATCCATTAGTTAGGACAGCATATCAAACTTGGTTCCTGAGTTAATCCATCTTTCACGATCACGCCATCTATCAAAGCATAAACTAATTGAAGAATTTGAGCCGGCCCATCACACAAAGTGCAAAACCAAGGTTAAAAGCTAAACAACACTTTGTACATTTGCACAAATGCATCAGCTAGGTTTTCCACTGACCTGGTTAAGTGTGTGGTGTAAACCAAGCCTTTCTCTGCCAAGAACTTTTCTTTCTCACACATACACACACGTAATCCCTGATTGGCTCCCTCAGATGCTGCCCAGACACATTAATCCCGAGAGCGAAGATTACGGCCTGTTTAGCACGCTGTTGTACTTGATCAATAGAAACCGAGTCTGTCCAAAGTCTGTCAATGCAAAGGTCTGACAAAGAGACACAACAATGGTTGGGAAAGTCAACAAAGACCTGATCATCATCCAGCAGCCTCAAACCAAGAGCTTCTAAAGCTGGACCCTTTCAGCCTCGTTCCTTGTGACGGAGATCTTTTTATGAGTGCAGTAGTCCATTACTCAAAAGAAAATCCCTTTTGTACTTAGAAAACACTCTGTAAAGTTGGTTTGTGTGTGTGTGTGTGTGTGTGTTAGGATTAGAAGATCTGGTGAGAGTCCCAGTGTCTGGTGAGGATCCCAGGTGCTTCATCACTGGAGGTTTTTAAGAAGAGATTGGACAGACACTTGTCCGAAATGGTACAGGGTCTCCTGCTTGAGCAAGGGGCTGGACTAGAAGACCTCCAAGGTCCCTTCCAGCTCTATTTTGATTGATTGATCGATCTCTTCCCCAGGTCTCCTGGAAAGAACAAAGGCCTCCTTTCTCTGCTTCCAATTCCAAAGAAGTTGTCACTCTTGCTCCTGTGAGTTCTCCAGAAGACAGGAAACGGCAAGACTGCACAGTCACGGTGCCAGTTTCTCGGTCGTGGCTCTGCCAACTGGAAGCGAGTTGTACTCGCACCTACGAAGTAGGATGTCAAACGTTTTGCTCTGAAATAAAGCTGAGGATGGTCCAAGTTTCCAGCCAGGGCACTTGGCCATGCCAAGGAACCGGCTACCATGGAATTGGAGAAGGGCCACCAACTTAGAGGGCTTGAAAATAGAAGATACCTATCGTGGCCTTTAGCTCAAGGACTTTGACCCAACCCAGTGGGCTTCCGATGCTCTTGGTTGCTAGACTCCATGGAACCTCCAGGTTCAAAGACAGCCTACCCCTGAAGCCGAAGATTAGGGAATAAGAGGGAGAAGCTTGACCAAAGATCTCCCAAGGCTTGCCAGAAGAATGTGAGATGAACTTGGCTTTGACACAGATCTAAACCTTTTCCAGTTCTCCACTGCTAAGAAAGGTTCAGGTCACTTTCAGCTCATGTTTGGTTAGTAATTCAACCCTGCCGGTTTTATAAGGGAAGGCCCAACCCAGCTGACCCCTGCCTTAAAGAAGGCAGAGCTGCAGAGCTGCAGAAAGGATCCAGCCATGGCCACTTCAAAGGAAGCCAACTTTTAGACATTGCCCAAAGAGGCTCATCATGAGACTCTCAAAAGCTGCCTTCCCCCAAGAGAGAGGCTGTTTTGCCAAAGGTTTCTTCCCCTTTAGACTTGGCCTTCACGACAAACAGAAGCTGCGTTTGTTTGGCTTCCAACGTTTGCAAATATATAAGATTCTCCCCTTCCGGTTCTTACGCAACAAACGCGAGTCCACACAACAGCAAGCAGACCAGGCGTTGCTGGTTCCAACACGGGGAAGGAGAACGTTTCTGAAAGCAGCCAGCTCAAACTTCTCTCTACCTAGGATGAGCAAAGGCCAGGCAGGACCATTTCAGGGACAGACAGACTGCAAAAACATGTGCTTTTATTTATTCTTGCAACAAAAACCCCCACACAAAACAAAAAAAGCACACACTCCTTTTCTACCTCAACAGCCTTGAAGAACCCAATCGCTGGAATGTCACTGCAGCCTGATTTATTATTTTTAAACGGGGTTGGGCAGGGCATAACACAAAATCGCCGAGCACCATTGCCCCAGCCGCCTCCTTGGGGAGGTTCCCCCCCCCCAAAGCATCCAACGCCTGCCACTTGTGCAAACAAAAGCCGTTTCAGAGAATTGCTGCTGTGGCATCCGCCAACCTCTCTCGCCTTGGCAAGGGAAGGGAATGGCAGTGCCCGCTCTGCTGCCGCAGCAGTTGCCCCGTTTTCCCCCAGCCAGCCGGCCTGTTATGTTCTTTGCAAAGGGTAGCAGCCACCTCCGGCGCCTTCCTCCCTTCCTCCACCTTCTCCCTCAGCTTCTCCCCCCCACCCACTTAAGGGCTGCTCCCTCCCAAGGTGGCTCTGTTTGCATACATTAGAACTGGCAAAGATTCCTGCAGTCGCCTCCTCTTCTTCCTCCTCCTCCTCCTCCTCCTCCTCCTCCTCCGCCTCAGTCAGACACATCAACACCAACCAGCCGAGTTGCTATCCTGGGGGCTTCTCTCCCTCTCCCCCCCCCCGTCTTCCTTCCATCGCAAGCAAGCAAACAGCAGTGAATCCCCCCTCCCCTCTCTGCCAGTTGTTTCCCTTCCAAGGGCTGCTCCCTAATTTTAAATGCAGGACGCCCCTTTGGAAAGACCCCCCCCTTTTTTGCTGCCGCTCTTCTTAAAGCGACCCCCGGACCGATTTTTGAGAGAAGGTGCCATGGGGAGGGGGCTGGCAGGAGCAGAGAGGGGGGGAGAGAGAGACTTGGGTGCCTTGCAAGGAAGTCTTTGGCTCGGCTTGGCTTCCCCAGCTTTGGACTCCGGTGGGATAGCTGCCCCTCTCTCTCTCTCTCTCTCTCTCTCTCTCGTCCGCCCCTTCCCCTCTTTTCTCGGTCTCCGTGCAAAGCATCCCGCCTCGCAGCGCCTGGAAACCCCCCTGGATGGCCGAGGCTTCCTTGCAACGGCGGATAAATAAAACAGCAGCCAGCCAGGCTCCCTCCCTCCCTTCGGCGCCTTGCAGGGCACTTCGCCGCCCCTTCCCACCCCACTGACGACCCCCTCCCTCCCCCCCTCCCACCCAGGCGTGGACTCACGATCGTGCGAGAGATTTCCTCGGCTGGCGGCGATCAAGCCCGAGCTGACCAGGAGCCACAGAGGCAGCATGGTGGGCAGGGGGGAGCCGCTGGCCGTCTTTCGGGGGGAGGGGAGAAAGGAGGAAGGAAGGAAGGAAAGGAGGAAGGAAGGAAAGGAGGGCAGCGGGGAGGAGGAGGATGGAGGAGGAGAGGGGGAATCCGACGCCTCCCCCCGGGCGGGTGGGCGGCTAGCAAACTTCGTCCTTGCCCCCTCCCCGCCGCTGGAGGGGGGAGAAAAAGAAGGGATGGGCCGAAGAGAGCAAGCAAGGGGGGGCTCGACCTTTGGCCCCGACCCCTCCCGCCCCGGCTCTGCCTCCAAAGCGGGACCGCAGTGGCGCGACGCCGGCCGGCCCGGAGGACGCCGCGGAGGGGGTCCAGCAGAAAGCCGGGGATGCTGCAGTGACTGGGATTAAATAGAGCACCCGGGAGAGACCATTGGGCCGCCGCGGAGAGGGGAGGACGGAGCCAGTCGGAACGCCGAAAGGGAGAGGCGGCGGCGGGGTGGAGAGAGAGAGAGAGAGAGAGAGGTGGGTGGGTGGGTGGGTGGGTGGGTTTGTGCATCATCCCACCCTCTTCTATGCAAATCGGGGAGGGTCCTTCCAGGCCAGGTGGGGCGGAAGGGGAGAGGCGGAGGCGGCAGGTGGGCGATGCCCGGGCAAGGTGGGGTGGTCCCGGCTTGGGAATCCACGCTCAGCCAGGCTTGGGGCGGGGGGGTGAGGGGGAGCGAGGAGTGGGGGGAGGAGAAGAGAAGCGAAGCTCCCACTCGCCTCCCCCTCTTAGTGCAGACTTGGTGCGGTCCAGATGGCTCCGTTAAAACCCCCCCTCTTCCCCCAAGGATGGGGAAGCTAGAGCCAATATTAAGACTGGAGTGAATGCTGCTGCTGGACGTTGGGGGGAAGCAACAGAAGGGGGGCGCTGGGAAGGGGGCGATGCCGTATCCTCCCCCCACACACACACCCGGCTTGCAAAACACGACACGGATAGGAATCGTTATAATGCATGCGTCTGAGGGGGATGATGGGTAAGAGGGTCCTGGTTGGAGATGAGCTGTCCATCCGGATGGTGGAATTCGGACTTGGGCCAATGGGATCCTGGATCCAGGTGTGACGGTACCTGTGGGCGCTCCATCACTGTACATTCACTTGTCTGAGACAGTATAGGTTCTGCCTGAGCAGGGGGCTGGACTAGAAGACCTCCAAGGTCCCTTCCAGTTCTATTCTATTCTATTCTATTCTATTCTATTCTGTTCTGTTCTATCCTATACTAAATTCTATTCTATTTTTATTTCTATTCTATTTTTATTTCTATTCTTAATTCTATTCTCTTCTATTCTCTTCTATACTAAATTCTATTCTATTTTTAATTCTATTCTATTCTTATTTCTATTCTATTCTATACTAAATTCTTTTCTATTTTTAATTCTATTCTATTCTTATTTCTATTCTATTCTATTCTTATTTCTATTCTATTTTTATTTCTATTCTATTCTATTCTATTCTATTCTATTCTATTCTATTCTATTCTATTCTATTCTAAAGATTCAAGATTGTTTGATGCAGCTTTGTGTTTTTAAAAACTTCTAGGTTGTTTGCCCAGGGCATGGGTGGGGTGGGGGTCCAAAAAATCAAGATGGCAGCCGTGCCCATGGGATCAAGGTCCCACCTGTTTAAAAAAGACGAGTGAGACATCAGATCACCTGTCAATCAGGGCTTCCATGTTGATTTTGTTGATTCCTCTGTCTTCGCTGGAGGGGGCCAGTTGGAATCTAGCCACATACTACAGGTGTTTTAAAGAAGTACAGAGAACCCTCAGCTTAACAACTGTCATTGTGCCCACAAGTTTGGTCATGGGTTGTGATGGTCATAAAGTGGATCCCCAGGTCCCAATTTTACAGCCTCTTTTGCAGTGGTCGTTAAACAAACCCATTGTTTGCTATGGGGTGAACCCAAAGCCAATACTGCTTTCTGGCAAAATGGTCATAAATGTGGGCCCATTTCCGAGTGCCAAAAAATGCAGTCACATATCCATGGGGCGGACCCCGACACTGGAACTTTGAATCTGGGTTGTAAGTCCTATTTTGCGGGGTGTGGGGGGGTCTGTCATAACTTCAGACACTCACTAAGCCAGGGGGTCTTCACACTTGGCCCTTTGATGACTTGTGGACTTCAGCTCCCAGAATTCCTCAGCCAGGCTGAGGAATTCTGGGAGTTGAAGTCCACAAGTCATCAAAGGGCCAAGTTTGAAGACCCCCCTGCTCAAAGGGTTCAAGGCTAACTTAGTGGGAATCTCCCCTAATTGTGGGTCCTTGGGGGGGGGGAGACAAAGCTAGATTGTAAGACTGAGAGACGTGACACAAATCAGGGCGTTCCCCGATTGATCAAGGCTTGATGCTGGCTTGTCCCAGCCCAAGTCTTTCCCTTAACCACACCCCTTGGCAAGCTTATTAGAAGTGAGTGATATCGGGGCCGTTTCGCCCAACAAGCCCCCTTGAACGAGTTTGCACTAATTTTCCAGACAAAAATTCACAATAACAAAACAAAGCACACCCCCCCCCCCCATACAACTCATTGGAATTCAAGGGATGAGAGAATCCGGGGGACCAACCCCACCCTCTCCAAACCTTTGTGCTAAGTCTCAGACTGCCTGCAGGGGGGGCACCAGAGTCAAAACAGGTTTCAGATGTTATTAACTACCTTTATAGACCACGACAAAGATCTGGAAGGGGTTGAACATCCCCACCCAAAGATAGTTTAGAATTAAAGCGGCAGTCGGTCAACATCCAATGCAGCTAAAGTCATCCCTGTGGGGTGTAGAAGGGGGGGGGGGGACGAAATGCTAGGATACAGCTATGAAACTAGCCCAGTATGATTTCTACTTGTGAAAACGGGCAGGCTCAGAAGCTCAGATTGGTTGTTGTTGTTTTAAAAAAGAGCTAGTTTAATTATCTCATCCATCACCTAATTCAATTAGATGTTTTTTTTGTTTTTTACAATTCTGGCTGGGGAATTCTGGGAGATGAGGTCTACGCTTATCAAAGCTGCCAAAATTGAGAAAACCCTGATTTAATATGGGCTTCTGGCCAGATTGAACTGAAAATGAAGTAAAAATGAAATGGATTAGGTGAATGTGCTTTTTTTTTTTAATGCATTCTTGCTCTGGAGTCAATTCCCTCCATCCTTTTTTGGCTTCTGAAGCTCCCTCTTATGCATGGAGAAACAAGCAAACATTGGACACTTATTTTTAATAAAATAGATTATAACAGTGAGGAGTCAGGGAGCAGTTTGGTGGGGGGAGAGATGGCAAGCAAAATTAAACTCCATCAAGATGCGTGTGCAAAATAGATTGTAGGAAGAGAGCTGCATTTGTCAATGGTACTGTAGCCCCAAATTAGGAGGAGTCTGACGAACAGTGTTTGGGAAAAGACATAGGAGTCTGTGAGCTGCAGCTGTCTTTAATAGAATTTGTTAGCTGAAAAATGTGCTGCCCAGATTCCCTCTGATGTTTTTGGTACCTTATAGAGAAATATGCGGATGGACTTCAGGGAGAGAAGGAGGGGAGCAAGGAAGGAAAAAATAGAAGGAAAATGGAAGGAAATTAATGTTGGGCTGCATTAACAGAGGGATAGAATCAAGATCACGTGAAGTATTAATACCACTTTACAAGGCCTTGGTATGGCCACACTTGGAATGCGGCATCCAGTTTTGGTCACCACGATGTAAAAAAGATGTTGAGACTCTAGAAAGAGTACAGAAAAGAGCAACAAAGATGATCAGGGGACTGGAGGCTAAAACATATCAGGAAAGGTTGCTGGAATTGGGTATGTGTAGTTTAACAAAGAGAAGGACGAGGGGGGACATGATAGCAGTGTTCCAATATCTCAGGATGGCCCCAAAGAAGAGGGAGTCAAGCTGTTCTCCAAAGCACCTGAGGGCAGGACAAGAAACGGATGGAAACTCATCAAGGAGAGAAGCAACCTAGAACTAAGGAGAAACTTCCTGACAGTGAGGACAATTAACCAATGGAACGACTTGCTACCAGACATTTTGTCCAAAATGGTGTAAGGTTTCCTGCCTGGGCAGGGGGTTGGGTTTGATGACCTCTGAGGTCCCTTCTAACTTTATTATTATTATTATTATTATTATTATTATTATTATTATTATTATTATTATTATTGATCATCGCGCAGTCAGCCAGATGTTCAGACTGGATTTGGCATTTTTGTCTACCTATCGAGTCCTTACCCAGGACCTGGGATAGGCAGATGTGGATGTTTGATGATATTACAGATCTCGTCGCAGGATGGAAGCAGTTCCTAGTAAGGCCGCCTTTTGCAATTGACTAATGGCGAATTTGTCAATGCCGATGATGGTGTTCAAGTGGTGCTCCAGTTGTTTTGGGATTGCACCCAAGGCGCCTATGACTATTGGTACTTATTGGTTGTTGTTGTTATTATTATTATTAAAAGAAGAAAGGCAGGAAAAAGGGAAAGGGAAAAGGAAGGAAGGAAGGAAGGAAGGAAGGAAGGAAGGAAGGAAGGAAGGAGGAAAGAAAGGAAGGAAGGAAGGAAGGAAGGAAGGAAGGAAGGAAGGAGGAAAGAAGGAAGGAAGGAAGGAAGGAAGGAAGACAATGTTCATTCCAATCTTAATCTTAGGATCAATGGGGAATGATGACTGGGAATCCAGTTGCCCATTTACCAGCCTCCCTGGCAGGGCTGGCACTGCCTCACCCTCTTTCCTTACGTAGCCCTCCTCTTTCCATCTCTTTTGCCAATAGCTGGCTTTGCAATTAGCAGGGCTGCTAACAGCCATTGATCAGCTTTCCTTGTGGATTAGTTGGATCCCTTTGTTACACAAGGAGAGAAGACCAACCCGGCTTGTTCAATATCACCATCTCTCCCAATAATTGCAGTCCCGAAATCGAATTTGTCATTTCTTCCCTGAAAAAAAAGAGGCTTCTGTTTTTCTGCTTTATTCTCAGAGTACTTGAGACGTTCCTTCACATTTCTTTCCTCCCTTCTCCTTCTATTTCTTTAACCTGCTTTATGGCAAAGGGCGCAACTGCTAATCTTATTGATTTTATTTTATTTGTATACTTTTTCCCATCTCTCTAAACAATGTTTTTTTTTCAAACTTGTGGACTTCAACTCCCAGAATTCCCCAGCCAGCTTGCTTTAAGATGGGTGGACTCCTGGAATTCTTTAGGCATCATGCTTTAAGATGGGTGGACCTCAACTCCCAGAATTCCCCAGCCAGCATTCTTTAAGCTGGACAAACTTAAACTCCCAGAATCCCGCAGCTAGCATGCTTTAAGATGGGTGGACTTCACCTCCCAGAATTCCCCAGCCAGCCTGCTTTAAGATGGGTGGACTTCAACTCCCAGAATTCCCCAGCCAGCATGT